TTTTTAGATAACTTCCGCCTCAATTACACATTAATTTAAGCTCAGTAGCCAAGAATTAAATGTTTGACCACAAAATGCCTTAAGCAGTTGGGCCCTACAAATCAGTTTTGCCATTTATGAGATAATTTTCCTAGCTGAAACTTCGTCCCAGGACAGAAAATACGGCTCATCTTGATTTCTTTCTAAACGTCAGTTGGAATCCCTTATCGACGGCTTTTGCCTCCCCCCATTCTTCGTTAGCGGGCGCAATGACCCCGAATTCGTCCCTCACGTGTCAGCTGTTGATAAGAAGGCCATGCGAGTGAACGCCACTGTAGTTTTCATCATTGACAGTCACTGTTGCCGGTCATTGTCGAAGAAGGTTCGCCGAGGACTGACGCGGGAGTACCTGATCAGCCAGCAAGTAATTATATGTGGCAGGGGCTGCCTGGTAGATACGCCGGCCTAACAAGGGGCTGTATCAGGACACAACAGGATTTATTCGGGTTGCGGATAAGTGCCGAACATGGGGGAGGGAGTGTGTAATGGTACGCGTACGTGCAGGCTCAAGCCGCGCCAACCACCTGCGCCTGTTCCCGCCTCCGGTCTTCTTGTATCTGTGCGATCAGGTGGGTGAGGGAAGAGAGAGTGCGGGGGATGCAGCGAAAGTCTACAATCTTTTAAATTAACAACAATGGTATTTACCTACAAACACAGAGCACATCCATGAAGCGCTTTTCTGCCCCATTGGGCGTCATCAGGTGGTGGTAGCTCAATTGTACACCGGAAACATCCTGAAACAGATCGGTGTACAATTACCCACTACTGTATAGTCCCGATCACAAACCGACAACACAGCGGTCCCGTGGCTCAAGGGGTTAGAGCGTTCGCCTCTGGCCGGAGAGACGCGAGTTCGAAACTCGAGTGTGGCGGAAATTTCCGCTGCTATGCTGGAGTTGACCTACTACCACTTGATGACGCCCAAAAAGGCAGAAAAGCGCTTCGTGATGGGCTCTGTGTTTGTCGGTAAATAACATTGTTACTAAAACTAGTGAGTGACATAACTATTTCGCCTTGAGCAGGTATGATTGGGGTTCCAATTAGCTCGCAAACAAGGCATCAACCAGGATGGGTACATACTGAAACAGATCGGTGTACAATTACCCACTACTTAAATTAATCCACGCGCAAGCCACCGTCCCTGCATCCTGTACAGCACACGGCGGACCTCGTCGGAATCGACTGTAGAAAATGCGTCACTAGTGAGCACCATAGTCCTTTGTACGCACATTATCGCCTTTGAGGAGGATTTAAAAACAAGTCCAGACCAGCAAAGCTAGTGTTACCGTTATTGACTCATCTTCATTCAGTCGTTTAGTCTTTCCTCTGTAAAATAAAGTCTGTTGAAGGGGATCCACTAGAAGAGTCTCTAAACCAACTAGACTTTTTTCGAATCCTGTTATTTACTCA